TGTGTACTTAGGATTCATTCCACGTTTGTGATTTGCGAAAAAAACATAGAGAGTACAGATAATGTCAACAGCTGAAGTGGTTTGTACAATGTATATTGTTTGGTGATTACATCGTGGCAGTGGTTATCTCCCATTGACCGTGATTTAGACTGTATGGCTGCTCCTGTGTAAACTGTCCAGTTGAGAGAAGTTGGTGGGATGTTTGTGAGATAAGACATCAATATACATGGTGTTAACTGTCTAGTTGAGAGAAGCTGGTGGGAAGTTTGTGAGATAAGACATCATTACACCTTAATTAGCCCCCTGATCGTGATCCAATACGTTTCCAGTCATGTTTCAATGATACAAAGTCCTGATATTGGAAATGATGGAACCAGTAAGAGGAAATGCCGTGAGAGAAAAGAAAACATACAATCAATGGTACACGAAAGAGATTCATGTTCCTTAACAGGTGGTTCCGTGGTGTAGTGGTTATCACGTCTGCTTAACACGCAGAAGGCCGCGAGTTCGAGCCTCGCCGGAACCTTACTTTTTGGGGGATTTCCATTATTTCATGGAATGTATACATCTCTCTTTCTCGGGGAAAAACCTACCACCAGCGAAGGGGGCTTGTTACTTCTTAATGTTTTGTTTCTTGTCGCCTTTTACACATGTACACCACCCCTCAGCAGATCCTCAACTTGCCGTGCTCTGTTAGTGTCCGTGGCAGGTATAAGTCTTTACAAACACTGCCACCAACACAGCTGAGGTTCAGTGGTGTAGTGGTTATCACGTCTGCTTCACACGCAGAAGGCCGCGAGTTCGAGCCTCGCCTGAACCTTGATGTTTTTGCTCTTCTATGAATTGTTATTTTACTTCTCTCTTGCTGGCACACACAGCGTATTGTGTTGACTGTGTCAACTGTTGATTAATTATGAAGTCACGCACAAAGTGTCTATATGAAGTGGCTAATCGACATTTACTTGGAAAAATAGATAAGCCAAACCACTCAGAATGCCTCTCTTCCCTCCATCTCTGCCACATGTGACTGAGAGGAACGATCATCAATAACCAGAGTTACTAGCCTGAGCTGGCACTCACCCTGGTTCGCTTCGCGCTCAGAAAGAGAGGCTGTCTATCGTCCTCGTGGTTTGGTAGACTGTCAGTTTTACCTGAAGTCATGGCGATGCATACTATAGAAATGATCCCTAAAAGTATGATCTTAACTAACATATGGCGGAATTTGTACCTACTTCTTTTCAAAAGGCACGCCAGTGTGCTATGCAACATCATGTAACATTCCTGCTAAATCTTTTGAAAAATCTTCATCAGGTCAATCAGTTACAGACATCGCCACCTCTGTGTACTTAGGATTCATTCCACGTTTGTGATTTACGAAAAAAACATAGAGAGTACAGATAATGTCAACAGCTGAAGTGGTTTGTACAATGTATATTGTTTGGTGATTACATCGTGGCAATGGTTATCTCCCATTGACCGTGATTTAGACTGTATGGCTGCTCCTGTGTAAACTGTCCAGTTGAGAGAAGTTGGTGGGATGTTTGTGAGATAAGACATCAATATACATGGTGTTAACTGTCTAGTTGAGAGAAGCTTGTGGGAAAATTGTGAGATAAGACATCATTACACCTTAATTAGCCCCCTGATCGTGATCCAATACGTTTCCAGTCATGTTTCAATGATACAAAGTCCTGATATTGGAAATGATGGAACCAGTAAGAGGAAATGCCGTGAGAGAAAAGAAAACATACAATCAATGGTACACGAAAGAGATTCATGTTCCTTTACAGGTGGTTCCGTGGTGTAGTGGTTATCACGTCTGCTTAACACGCAGAAGGCCGCGAGTTCGAGCCTCGCCGGAACCTTACTTTTTGGGGGATTTCCATTATTTCATGGAATGTATACATCTCTCTTTCTCGGGTAAAAACCTACCACCAGCGAAGGGGGCTTGTTACTTCTTAATGTTTTGTTTCTTGTCGCCTTTTACACATGTACACCACCCCTCAGCAGATCCTCAACTTGCCGTGCTCTGTTAGTGTCCGTGGCAGGTATAAGTCTTTACAAACACTGCCACCAACACAGCTGAGGTTCAGTGGTGTAGTGGTTATCACGTCTGCTTCACACGCAGAAGGCCGCGAGTTCGAGCCTCGCCTGAACCTTGATGTTTTTGCTCTTCTATGAATTGTTATTTTACTTCTCTCTTGCTGGCACACACAGCGTATTGTGTTGACTGTGTCAACTGTTGATTAATTATGAAGTCACGCACAAAGTGTCTATATGAAGTGGCTAATCGACATTTACTTGGAAAAATAGATAAGCCAAACCACTCAGAATGCCTCTCTTCCCTCCATCTCTGCCACATGTGACTGAGAGGAACGATCATCAATAACCAGAGTTACTAGCCTGAGCTGGCACTCACCCTGGTTCGCTTCGCGCTCAGAAAGAGAGGCTGTCTATCGTCCTCGTGGTTTGGTAGACTGTCAGTTTTACCTGAAGTCATGGCGATGCATACTATAGAAATGATCCCTAAAAGTATGATCTTAACTAACATATGGCGGAATTTGTACCTACTTCTTTTCAAAAGGCACGCCAGTGTGCTATGCAACATCATGTAACATTCCTGCTAAATCTTTTGAAAAATCTTCATCAGGTCAATCAGTTACAGACATCGCCACCTCTGTGTACTTAGGATTCATTCCACGTTTGTGATTTACGAAAAAAACATAGAGAGTACAGATAATGTCAACAGCTGAAGTGGTTTGTACAATGTATATTGTTTGGTGATTACATCGTGGCAATGGTTATCTCCCATTGACCGTGATTTAGACTGTATGGCTGCTCCTGTGTAAACTGTCCAGTTGAGAGAAGTTGGTGGGATGTTTGTGAGATAAGACATCAATATACATGGTGTTAACTGTCTAGTTGAGAGAAGCTTGTGGGAAAATTGTGAGATAAGACATCATTACACCTTAATTAGCCCCCTGATCGTGATCCAATACGTTTCCAGTCATGTTTCAATGATACAAAGTCCTGATATTGGAAATGATGGAACCAGTAAGAGGAAATGCCGTGAGAGAAAAGAAAACATACAATCAATGGTACACGAAAGAGATTCATGTTCCTTTACAGGTGGTTCCGTGGTGTAGTGGTTATCACGTCTGCTTAACACGCAGAAGGCCGCGAGTTCGAGCCTCGCCGGAACCTTACTTTTTGGGGGATTTCCATTATTTCATGGAATGTATACATCTCTCTTTCTCGGGTAAAAACCTACCACCAGCGAAGGGGGCTTGTTACTTCTTAATGTTTTGTTTCTTGTCGCCTTTTACACATGTACACCACCCCTCAGCAGATCCTCAACTTGCCGTGCTCTGTTAGTGTCCGTGGCAGGTATAAGTCTTTACAAACACTGCCACCAACACAGCTGAGGTTCAGTGGTGTAGTGGTTATCACGTCTGCTTCACACGCAGAAGGCCGCGAGTTCGAGCCTCGCCTGAACCTTGATGTTTTTGCTCTTCTATGAATTGTTATTTTACTTCTCTCCTGCTGGCACACACAGCGTATTGTGTTGACTGTGTCCACTGTTGATTAATTATGAAGTCACGCACAAAGTGTCTATATGAAGTGGCTAATCGACATTTACTTGGAAAAATAGATAAGCCAAACCACTCAGAATGCCTCTCTTCCCTCCATCTCTGCCACATGTGACTGAGAGGAACGATCATCAATAACCAGAGTTACTAGCCTGAGCTGGCACTCACCCTGGTTCGCTTCGCGCTCAGAAAGAGAGGCTGTCTATCGTCCTCGTGGTTTGGTAGACTGTCAGTTTTACCTGAAGTCATGGCGATGCATACTATAGAAATGATCCCTAAAAGTATGATCTTAACTAACATATGGCGGAATTTGTACCTACTTCTTTTCAAAAGGAACGCCAGTGTGGTATGCAACATCATGTAACATTCCTGCTAAATCTTTTGAAAAATCTTCATCAGGTCAATCAGTTACAGACATCGCCACCTCTGTGTACTTAGGATTCATTCCACGTTTGTGATTTGCGAAAAAAACATAGAGAGTACAGATAATGTCAACAGCTGAAGTGGTTTGTACAATGTATATTGTTTGGTGATTACATCGTGGCAATGGTTATCTCCCATTGACCGTGATTTAGACTGTATGGCTGCTCCTGTGTAAACTGTCCAGTTGAGAGAAGTTGGTGGGATGTTTGTGAGATAAGACATCAATATACATGGTGTTAACTGTCTAGTTGAGAGAAGCTTGTGGGAAAATTGTGAGATAAGACATCATTACACCTTAATTAGCCCCCTGATCGTGATCCAATACGTTTCCAGTCATGTTTCAATGATACAAAGTCCTGATATTGGAAATGATGGAACCAGTAAGAGGAAATGCCGTGAGAGAAAAGAAAACATACAATCAATGGTACACGAAAGAGATTCATGTTCCTTTACAGGTGGTTCCGTGGTGTAGTGGTTATCACGTCTGCTTAACACGCAGAAGGCCGCGAGTTCGAGCCTCGCCGGAACCTTACTTTTTGGGGGATTTCCATTATTTCATGGAATGTATACATCTCTCTTTCTCGGGTAAAAACCTACCACCAGCGAAGGGGGCTTGTTACTTCTTAATGTTTTGTTTCTTGTCGCCTTTTACACATGTACACCACCCCTCAGCAGATCCTCAACTTGCCGTGCTCTGTTAGTGTCCGTGGCAGGTATAAGTCTTTACAAACACTGCCACCAACACAGCTGAGGTTCAGTGGTGTAGTGGTTATCACGTCTGCTTCACACGCAGAAGGCCGCGAGTTCGAGCCTCGCCTGAACCTTGATGTTTTTGCTCTTCTATGAATTGTTATTTTACTTCTCTCCTGCTGGCACACACAGCGTATTGTGTTGACTGTGTCCACTGTTGATTAATTATGAAGTCACGCACAAAGTGTCTATATGAAGTGGCTAATCGACATTTACTTGGAAAAATAGATAAGCCAAACCACTCAGAATGCCTCTCTTCCCTCCATCTCTGCCACATGTGACTGAGAGGAACGATCATCAATAACCAAGAGTTACTAGCCTGAGCTGGCACTCACCCTGGTTCGCTTCGCGCTCAGAAAGAGAGGCTGTCTATCGTCCTCGTGGTTTGGTAGACTGTCAGTTTTACCTGAAGTCATGGCGATGCATACTATAGAAATGATCCCTAAAAGTATGATCTTAACTAACATATGGCGGAATTTGTACCTACTTCTTTTCAAAAGGAACGCCAGTGTGGTATGCAACATCATGTAACATTCCTGCTAAATCTTTTGAAAAATCTTCATCAGGTCAATCAGTTACAGACATCGCCACCTCTGTGTACTTAGGATTCATTCCACGTTTGTGATTTGCGAAAAAAACATAGAGAGTACAGATAATGTCAACAGCTGAAGTGGTTTGTACAATGTATATTGTTTGGTGATTACATCGTGGCAATGGTTATCTCCCATTGACCGTGATTTAGACTGTATGGCTGCTCCTGTGTAAACTGTCCAGTTGAGAGAAGTTGGTGGGATGTTTGTGAGATAAGACATCAATATACATGGTGTTAACTGTCTAGTTGAGAGAAGCTGGTGGGAAAATTGTGAGATAAGACATCATTACACCTTAATTAGCCCCCTGATCGTGATCCAATACGTTTCCAGTCATGTTTCAATGATACAAAGTCCTGATATTGGAAATGATGGAACCAGTAAGAGGAAATTCTGTGAGAGAAAAGAAAACATACAATCAATGGTACACGAAAGAGATTCATGTTCCTTTACAGGTGGTTCCGTGGTGTAGTGGTTATCACGTCTGCTTAACACGCAGAAGGCCGCGAGTTCGAGCCTCGCCGGAACCTTACTTTTTGGGGGATTTCCATTATTTCATGGAATGTATACATCTCTCTTTCTCGGGGAAAAACCTACCACCAGCGAAGGGGGCTTGTTACTTCTTAATGTTTTGTTTCTTGTCGCCTTTTACACATGTACACCACCCCTCAGCAGATCCTCAACTTGCCGTGCTCTGTTAGTGTCCGTGGCAGGTATAAGTCTTTACAAACACTGCCACCAACACAGCTGAGGTTCAGTGGTGTAGTGGTTATCACGTCTGCTTCACACGCAGAAGGCCGCGAGTTCGAGCCTCGCCTGAACCTTGATGTTTTTGCTCTTCTATGAATTGTTATTTTACTTCTCTCTTGCTGGCACACACAGCGTATTGTGTTGACTGTGTCCACTGTTGATTAATTATGAAGTCACGCACAAAGTGTCTATATGAAGTGGCTAATCGACATTTACTTGGAAAAATAGATAAGCCAAACCACTCAGAATGCCTCTCTTCCCTCCATCTCTGCCACATGTGACTGAGAGGAACGGTCATCAATAACCAGAGTTACTAGCCTGAGCTGGCACTCACCCTGGTTCGCTTAGCGCTCAGAAAGAGAGGCTGTCTATCGTCCTCGTGGTTTGGTAGACTGTCAGTTTTACCTGAAGTCATGGCGATGCATACTATAGAAATGATCCCTAAAAGTATGATCTTAACTAACATATGGCGGAATTTGTACCTACTTCTTTTCAAAAGGCACGCCAGTGTGCTATGCAACATCATGTAACATTCCTGCTAAATCTTTTGAAAAATCTTCATCAGGTCAATCAGTTACAGACATCGCCACCTCTGTGTACTTTGGATTCATTCCACGTTTGTGATTTGCGAAAAAACCAGAGAGTACAGATAATGTCAACAGCTGAAGTGGTTTGTACAATGTATATTGTTTGGTGATTACATCGTGGCAGTGGTTATCTCCCATTGACCGTGATTGAGACTGTATGGCTGCTCCTGTGTAAACTGTCCAGTTGAGAGAAGTTGGTGGGATGTTTGTGAGATAAGACATCAATATACATGGTGTTAACTGTCTAGTTGAGAGAAGCTGGTGGGAAAATTGTGAGATAAGACATCATTACACCTTAATTAGCCCCCTGATCGTGATCCAATACGTTTCCAGTCATGTTTCAATGATACAAAGTCCTGATATTGGAAATGATGGAACCAGTAAGAGGAAATGCCGTGAGAGAAAAGAAAACATACAATCAATGGTACACGAAAGAGATTCATGTTCGTTTACAGGTGGTTCCGTGGTGTAGTGGTTATCACGTCTGCTTAACACGCAGAAGGCCGCGAGTTCGAGCCTCGCCGGAACCTTACTTTTTGGGGGATTTCCATTATTTCATGGAATGTATACATCTCTCTTTCTCGGGGAAAAACCTACCACCAGCGAAGGGGGCTTGTTACTTCTTAATGTTTTGTTTCTTGTCGCCTTTTACACATGTACACCACCCCTCAGCAGATCCTCAACTTGCCGTGCTCTGTTAGTGTCCGTGGCAGGTATAAGTCTTTACAAACACTGCCACCAACACAGCTGAGGTTCAGTGGTGTAGTGGTTATCACGTCTGCTTCACACGCAGAAGGCTGCGAGTTCGAGCCTCCCCTGAACCTTGATGTTTTTGCTCTTCTATGAATTGTTATTTTACTTCTCTCTTGCTGGCACACACAGCGTATTGTGTTGACTGTGTCCACTGTTGATTAATTATGAAGTCACGCACAAAGTGTCTATATGAAGTGGCTAATCGACATTTACTTGGAAAAATAGATAAGCCAAACCACTCAGAATGCCTCTCTTCCCTCCATCTCTGCCACATGTGACTGAGAGGAACGGTCATCAATAACCAGAGTTACTAGCCTGAGCTGGCACTCACCCTGGTTCGCTTAGCGCTCAGAAAGAGAGGCTGTCTATCGTCCTCGTGGTTTGGTAGACTGTCAGTTTTACCTGAAGTCATGGCGATGCATACTATAGAAATGATCCCTAAAAGTATGATCTTAACTAACATATGGCGGAATTTGTACCTACTTCTTTTCAAAAGGCACGCCAGTGTGGTATGCAACATCATGTAACATTCCTGCTAAATCTTTTGAAAAATCTTCATCAGGTCAATCAGTTACAGACATCGCCACCTCTGTGTACTTAGGATTCATTCCACGTTTGTGATTTGCGAAAAAACCAGAGAGTACAGATAATGTCAACAGCTGAAGTGGTTTGTACAATGTATATTGTTTGGTGATTACATCGTGGCAGTGGTTATCTCCCATTGACCGTGATTGAGACTGTATGGCTGCTCCTGTGTAAACTGTCCAGTTGAGAGAAGTTGGTGGGATGTTTGTGAGATAAGACATCAATATACATGGTGTTAACTGTCTAGTTGAGAGAAGCTGGTGGGAAGTTTGTGAGATAAGACATCATTACACCTTAATTAGCCCCCTGATCGTGATCCAATACGTTTCCAGTCATGTTTCAATGATACAAAGTCCTGATATTGGAAATGATGGAACCAGTAAGAGGAAATGCCGTGAGAGAAAAGAAAACATACAATCAATGGTACACGAAAGAGATTCATGTTCCTTTACAGGTGGTTCCGTGGTGTAGTGGTTATCACGTCTGCTTAACACGCAGAAGGCCGCGAGTTCGAGCCTCGCCGGAACCTTACTTTTTGGGGGATTTCCATTATTTCATGGAATGTATACATCTCTCTTTCTCGGGTAAAAACCTACCACCAGCGAAGGGGGCTTGTTACTTCTTAATGTTTTGTTTCTTGTCGCCTTTTACACATGTACACCACCCCTCAGCAGATCCTCAACTTGCCGTGCTCTGTTAGTGTCCGTGGCAGGTATAAGTCTTTACAAACACTGCCACCAACACAGCTGAGGTTCAGTGGTGTAGTGGTTATCACGTCTGCTTCACACGCAGAAGGCTGCGAGTTCGAGCCTCGCCTGAACCTTGATGTTTTTGCTCTTCTATGAATTGTTATTTTACTTCTCTCTTGCTGGCACACACAGCGTATTGTGTTGACTGTGTCCACTGTTGATTAATTATGAAGTCACGCACAAAGTGTCTATATGAAGTGGCTAATCGACATTTACTTGGAAAAATAGATAAGCCAAACCACTCAGAATGCCTCTCTTCCCTCCATCTCTGCCACATGTGACTGAGAGGAACGGTCATCAATAACCAGAGTTACTAGCCTGAGCTGGCACTCACCCTGGTTCGCTTCGCGCTCAGAAAGAGAGGCTGTCTATCGTCCTCGTGGTTTGGTAGACTGTCAGTTTTACCTGAAGTCATGGCGATGCATACTATAGAAATGATCCCTAAAAGTATGATCTTAACTAACATATGGCGGAATTTGTACCTACTTCTTTTCAAAAGGCACGCCAGAGTGGTATGCAACATCATGTAACATTCCTGCTAAATCTTTTGAAAAATCTTCATCAGGTCAATCAGTTACAGACATCGCCACCTCTGTGTACTTAGGATTCATTCCACGTTTGTGATTTGCGAAAAAACCAGAGAGTACAGATAATGTCAACAGCTGAAGTGGTTTGTACAATGTATATTGTTTGGTGATTACATCGTGGCAGTGGTTATCTCCCATTGACCGTGATTGAGACTGTATGGCTGCTCCTGTGTAAACTGTCCAGTTGAGAGAAGTTGGTGGGATGTTTGTGAGATAAGACATCAATATACATGGTGTTAACTGTCTAGTTGAGAGAAGCTGGTGGGAAAATTGTGAGATAAGACATCATTACACCTTAATTAGCCCCCTGATCGTGATCCAATACGTTTCCAGTCATGTTTCAATGATACAAAGTCCTGATATTGGAAATGATGGAACCAGTAAGAGGAAATGCCGTGAGAGAAAAGAAAACATACAATCAATGGTACACGAAAGAGATTCATGTTCGTTTACAGGTGGTTCCGTGGTGTAGTGGTTATCACGTCTGCTTAACACGCAGAAGGCCGCGAGTTCGAGCCTCGCCGGAACCTTACTTTTTGGGGGATTTCCATTATTTCATGGAATGTATACATCTCTCTTTCTCGGGTAAAAACCTACCACCAGCGAAGGGGGCTTGTTACTTCTTAATGTTTTGTTTCTTGTCGCCTTTTACACATGTACACCACCCCTCAGCAGATCCTCAACTTGCCGTGCTCTGTTAGTGTCCGTGGCAGGTATAAGTCTTTACAAACACTGCCACCAACACAGCTGAGGTTCAGTGGTGTAGTGGTTATCACGTCTGCTTCACACGCAGACTTCTCTCCTGCTGGCACACACAGCGTATTGTGTTGACTGTGTCCACTGTTGATTAATTATGA